GCTTAGTTATATTAGGAAACTACTGTGAGAAATAAGTTCCATACCTGCAACATCGTTTCTTTCAAAGATCATATAATCTCGTCCAGCGCGTTCAAAAAAGTAACCCATCTGAAGACCTAAATGTCGGGATAAAAACGGAGAGGTAGAAACGGACTACTCATACTTTTGTCCGTATAATAGCCGACTTGCRAATTACGCATCAATAGTCACATACAAAGGAATCAAGACGAGGCGCCGTGCTTTTTTGTGAAAAATCTATTGTCTTTAGCACGGCGCCTCGTCTTGATTCCTTTGTATGTGACTATTGATGCGTAATTCGCAAGTCGGCTATTGTATAATAAGTTAATGATGCTTGGACTGGTGATGATTAGTATATATGTTGGTTCAGTTGTAAGACTGCCGTGTCCCGATGTTTGTTCTCCTGGAGACCAAGGACCAAGAACAATACAGGTTAGTCTCAAAAGTAGGATGTCCCTTATGGACCTCCTTATAAAACCGACCATCCCATMCCATAGAATAGCTTTAACAAATAACCCAATCTGATCATTCTTTATGTCATAACATGAGATTAATCCTAGACTGTTTTCATATTTGTTCTAGGTGAATAACGTGGCCAATTAATTAAGCATTCGTTGCATAACAAGGTACGTTTAATAAGGAACTGTGATTGATTTAAGACCATTTCAATCCATTGCATTTCAAGATTATCGCAGTGAAAGCATCAAATTTTATAAACACCACTTTTTAAGTAATTAAATAACACATCACTTAGTTTTTTTTAGGGAGGTAGAAAGTCATCTTCCCGAAGGCGCAAATTCTTTTCCAGATTCAAAACTTTTCGCGTCCATCCACATGTATTCACACCTGAATCGCTTATTTTGAAGACCGTTTTAAGAAAATTTCCGTAAAAGTTCCGGGATATCAACCTGTGAAAATGATTTGAAGATGCAAATATTTGGATGTGGCGACCTCTATGCATCATCTAATGCATTAACAATTTACTTTCTCTTTGAATAATGAAGAAATTGTAAACGTCATTCAGGTACGTTCCTTCGGACAAAACCTCTTACCTGCTGGTCCAGCCCCAATAACACAGTACTCGTAGGTGTGCACGGAGAGAGGAAGGACCAAGATATTAAACAGCAATTTAACTAATGTCGCCTTCATGATGAAACTCGAGTGAAATGACCTTTTGTTTGCCAAGGTTTTATCATTAGTTTAGGAATGCTGACGTAAATTGACATGAAGGACAAAAGAAAAAAAAAACCAACAAGCAAACAACAAAAAAACAAAACTACGGACTAGTCATAACTATAGTTAATAACAAAATGGAATAAATCATAGTTAACTATGAATAAATCAATCTGTACCGAACCAACTCAAGCTATATGCTTTCATGACAATGTTACTGCATAGTTATCAACTACGTTTCTTGATATTTTTGCGAGACGATATAGGAAAAGTTAAAATAATCATCACACGAAAATCTTCCTTCTTTAAATAAAACGACGCAGTAAATWATTATCCGCTGATAAATTAAGGACGTAATAACGAAAAACCCATAAAAAATTGAAAAGAGATTCTTGAACAAACCCTTCTGCTTCATATACCTCCCTATCCATACACCTGGACGACTGGAACCAGTTATATACATGAATAAATTCTTTAAAAAATCATCRCAAAAATTATCCTTGATAAACTTTATCTGGGGCTGGTTTTAGGAATGGTGAATGGCACTATCCAGCAGATAAAAAGCTATAACAAAAATATAGGAGTGGATAACTTTGACTGGTRGATAACTTTATTGACTRGCCTGATAATCAGRCACCAGCACAGCTAGTATGGAMATTCACTTAGCTGGAGTATCAGCCTCCCCCTTCCCAARAGGCCGTTTGTTTGGATAAAAAAAAGAAGGCAACAAAACACACACAGAAGGCCTTGGTGTCAAGACTACAATTRTTGACAAAATCCTTTGGACCATTCCAGCAAAATTCCTCATTTTAAACAACACCTGGAGACAATTTCATCCCCCTGGCCCCCTAAATGCAATGTTGTCATTGAGCATGTTATCATAGTAACAGGGTTTGTGCAAAATTYTCACTACAAAATTCCAGGAATTTTCAAGTACTTTTTAAGCACAAAAATGCSATTTTCAAGGACTATTTTAGAAGATATTTTTTGATGTTTGCGAATGTTTCCAGTGGCGATTTTCGAAAATAGCCACATTTCAATCCAAACGGCAAAAGGCAATATGTTAATTTCATGAGATTCAAGGAGTTTTCCAGGAGTTTTAGCAATTTTTCCCATTTTTAAGGGCTTTTCAAGTGCCCTTGAAAACGAGTTTTCAATTCCAGGAGTTTTCAATGATTTCAAGGAGTAGCCCTGTAGTACACAACTATCCAAAACAAGACCGAACATTGATGGAAGGGGTCTAAGGCGGAAAACTGTGAAAAAGGAGGAAAATGTTAGGCTGGAGACAAATAATTCTAATGTCCAAGGTATTTTGGCAATGATTGTAGGACTAACAGACAGAAAATTGATATCTAACATAATTCAATTTACATCACATGTCCAGGTCAATAAGTTAGGAAGTTMTATAACAGCATTAGATTTTGATGAAAAAATTCCCTTATTCACAAAAAATTTGATAGCTGGTAATGGGAAATTGTATAATAAAATTGTTGTATTTCAAAACATGTGAGACTGGTATTATTTGTCAGACCAAGACATTTCCTTCACTGAAGGAAACAGAAAATTTACTTTAAGTCAAGGCAATCCACCACATTTCCTTAGATTGCTGAAGAGTAAATCCTACTACACACGATAATAAAATTTGTATAATTTAGTATTATTCACCTGTACAAAATGGATGCTATATCAAGTACATTTTGAAGTACATTACTTTTTTCAATTCATTGTTTTAAACTGTGGACTTGTTTCAGTCTATTGCTCCTAATAAAGACAGCAGTTAGTTACAATCTTGGGCCATCAGAAATCATAATCCTTGATAATAGGGGGTAATTCAGAACACAGTACAACTTCTTATTATGTATTTCTAAAGAATTGATTTCCTGAGCTTGGACTGCAATATTATAGTCTCTTGATAGCCTTTTTCTTATCTTTTTTCTTCTTATCACAAACTTTTTCACCAGCCATTCTCTTTTTACCAGGAATAGATGACTGACATGTGTCAATTTTTGTTGARGCAGAAACTTTTGCATGGATATCTGTCATCATCCGTGCWCGTTTAGAGTAATCATCRTAGTGCTCAAGGAGTAACTTCCCGGCTTCTTCATTTAAAGCTGATTCAGGGTTAGGATGAATTAATAAACACTTGACAGTCTGGAATACAATCAAAYATCAAAAACGTGAGAGGTGCAGATTATAATTACATCAATCTATTGTGATCTACTTTGTTATTGTGGGCACATGAAATGTGCTACCATTAACAGACCATTGTTTAGTATCCAATGAGAATACTGGAGTTGAAATAGTTATTTAGGAAGCAAGCTTGCTTTTCAAGAGTTAATTTGTCTCTCTTGTTGTTTATATTTGAGGAAAGTTTTACAGATACAACTAGTTACATTTGTACACACCAGGAGTATATGTTTTATTCCTAAATCTGGTTTCCAATCCTTTTTAAGAGTATTTACACATATTTCACCATTCTTTGCGACATTTGGGTGGAAGATAGTGGTAAGAAAAAAACCTAAGGAAAARAACAATTCCAAATCAATAACAAATTAAATGCTGAATTAAATAAAGATACTTTTATATAGTAATAAATTGMAAAAAATATAGGATTTTTGTATTAGTTAAGGCTGATTCACACGGCACGATTGTCTTGTGCGATTTGTAGTATACGACTTGAATTGCGCAGTGTAAATGCCCCTACGACTTGTCTACAACAGTTGTACGCAACCTACGACTTGTAGTAGGATTTTGAACCACTGCTTAAAATCCTACAACTTGTAGTAGGAAAATTGTATACTACAAGTCGTATGCGACAAATCGTACCATGTAAATCAGCCTTTAGCAAACTATTTCATAGATATAGTGAGTGTTCATGGTTAAGTGTCAACACTTATATTATTCAGAATAAATATATGGTTTCAGACATTTTACTAATTGTGAATTCTTTTTGCAATGTTTTTATTAACAATAGCGTTAAGTGAGTGTCAAGGTTACTGACCTTTTGGTGGCGAAGCAGGGAAGTCTTTTCCTAATACAACTTTGATCCTAAATAAACCTCCCTCGTATGGAGTTCCAGCTGTTGAGAATTAGAAATATCATTAAATGCTTACAAAAACAATTGTTGTCATCACAGAGACTATACATTGTGAATTTTGTCTATTTTGAACCAATTTGGACATGTATGTAAAAAAATTGATTATGTAAAAAAATCTTCTCAAATAGGCCAATCAAATCACATTGTATTATGTTAGTTGATAAGAAAGCAAGTATAAACCAGGCATGATGGTGGGAGAAYTAGTGGGAAAAGCATTTGAAAACTCCCAGAATTCCACTTGGCCTAAGATCCAAGTCTATTAAAGATCGGGACTTGATTTCGAGCATCTACATGTAGATTATCAATGTTATGGCACAGAAATATTTTGATGCAGCTGGAATTGTCAAGGCATATCCAGATAAAAGGTGGGCAATAAAAAAAAAACAACAGAGCTCACTACGACAAGTCATGGAATGGCTGAAAGAGAAGATTACAAATTTGACTAGTTTCTACATCAATCAAAATACTATCTGGTCTTTGAAATCATCAAAGACAATGTAAGTCTTATATTATAATTTTTATTTTCAGAACCCGAAATAACTTTCCGACATTAAGCTTACACTAGATTGTAGATGTGCATAACGACGTTGTAKTYCAGTGCAGAAGTGCAGCATTCGTTAAATAAAAATTGAGACTTACTTGGGCCCTCTATTGTAGCTTGAATATCTGTAATATCTTCATCATTGGTAAAAATCTTGATTCCCTCTGGTGGGTTGCTAGCTAAACCGTGAATTTCTCGAGCAACTTGTTTGATAATTTGCGGGGATAAGTTTTCAACGTTCGAACTCGTCTGGAATAAAACACAAAATCGCATTAAATACAAACACTTCGATCAATAAAACGATATAAAATGTAACCAAAACTCACTCCTGCCATATGCGTAACGTTTTCTTTGAMAAATGAGAAGCAATTAAGAASAAAAATAASAGAAATTTCAATTTAGTTTCGACAACCGTTTATGCTTTCTTTCTGGTTTTGTATAATGGCTGACGATCAAACGAACCAATCAGAACACGAGAACGGGAACTTCGTTACCATTCCTTCTCATGCGGAAAGATCATTAAAACTGAAGCAGAAATGTCAACTTTTCTCGGCTGATGAATATAGTAACTGCAAGAGGCAAGACTATTTCAATTGAAATAAAAAAGAGCAGAAGTAAAAAGTGAAATGGAATAAAATGACTTTCAGTTTTTTAACACGAGTAAGAGCGTTCTTCACCTGGCGAAAAAATCAACACATTAGCAGCGTTTTATCAGAACTAAAAACATAAACTTTTAAACGTCAGACTTAAGCACACAATTTCATTTGATTGTAAATTTATCATCTCAAAGCCCCTCTTATGCAGTAGATTCAGAATGGATGCATAGCCAATATGTTAATGAGATCTAGTAATGCCCTATCAAAAATTATCTCAAGCGGACATCAACTAAAAAAACGTAGTAGTACCAGGTATTCAATGTTGCGCTTTGAGAATCTCTCCAGCAGTCTGGCCATATCGCTGAACGCCGATTATAGTTTCATCCATCAATTCGTTTGCATAATCCCGCTTTCCTCTTTCTATCTATTATTCATCTCTTTCTCTCTATCGCTTCACTTTTCAACTCAGTTCAAAAAGTAGACTATAACAAATCACATGTATCACAAAACCATAACAGTACATAAATTATGGAGACGTTTCAAATACACTTTGAGAAAATATGAAATGCGTGAATTACATTGCTAGTAACAAAAGTTGCGGTTTAAATAAAAAAGTTTGGATTTTACTGATAACTTGACCTAATTCAAGTGCCTTTCCAATGAATGAGAAATCCAAATCAAACTGTGCCTTTTCGTGTCACTTTCTGAAATGTTCTAAAATTGATTGGTCAAAAGGTGACGTCTAGTTCCGCACATCACAACATTTCACTGAATTTCAGGCATAATGCACTGCCAGTTTGATTCAAAAATACATTATTTCTGACATAAACAATTGGCAACCAGTCATTCCTGTCAAAATTCTACATATATTACTCCAAAAACCAACGAGAGAAAGACGGCTTTATTTGTACAGAGCCAAGCAAGACCAACCATTGTCTTTCGGTGATGATTTTTCTAAGTGTGATACTCGCTTGTGATTGGCTGATCGGTGACCTTTGAAGAGTCATAGAGATGAATAAAGCCATCAAAGAATCCACAGTTCTAACAGCCAAACAAAGTGAATATTTATTCAATCTGTTTGCCGTAAACCGTTAATGTTGCGCTTCGTACTATATTTTAATCGTATTTAAAGGAGATCTCATGCCCTTGACATCAAGACTTGCTAAAAACCACCAGCCTTCCGTATTGTTTTATTGACAAAGCAACCGGTTCGATCGCAAAAACGGGCGAAACATGCAAAGTCTTTAATATTTAATACAGTCCTTAGAAAATTAGCATGTAAAAATTTCTCCCAAAATTTCGCAGCGTTGGTCGCTTTTTACGCAACTTATGAACATTTTTAGCATGTTTCAATCTAGAATTCGTTTTATTCAACTATCGCCGTAAAAAAGCGACTGATTGTTACGAAATAAATCCCAATATCGGTAAAAGTCAGATATCTATGGCTGGATGGTTCTCGTCATATTTAAGATATTTCGAACACCATGTACTTGAAGATTACCCTATAGTGGCGCGTTCAGTCCGTATCAGCTAACACAGATCACGAGGTTTTATATTATTGACGTCGACAGGCTTCGAGCAGGAAATATAAACGTCTGCTGACATACATCTGCGAGTATTTTTAGAAGGAAAGTGAAAGTACTTTTCAGTAGAAAAACCAGCGATGCAGGACAGAGAAGTCACTTTCAGACTTTTTAAAATAGGGTACACTTCCCGTTAGTCATTACTGATCCTAATATTTTGCAAAATTTTGAAATTATTAACATATAAAGGCGGTTTTTTTAGGTTGATTAATTTTCTGGAATAAATTTTGGTTCTCCTAGCAACACAAGAAACGACATCATTCATATTGGTTGTATGAACGTTTAAGAAAAAAAATTCCTTCTATAGAGTAATTAACGTTTCGCTATGTCTGACACATCAACCTAATCTGATAGCCAGTGACGATCTCTTGCTCAAATGACTCATAGTTATCATATTACCAAGACATGCAGGCTCAACCCATAGCAAAGCTGCTAAAAAATACTTGTAATTCCACTTTTATGGATAGATCATAACAAGTCTGTATCAATTAGAAGTCGAATSCAATCATGTACATCGAACACGACTCCGTTGTTTGTGATGTAAATCGGAGTCACGAGACACGACGCCTCTAAAATGACTTCCCACAATATCGCCGATTATGGTAGGAGCATGCGCATTAGTTTTGGCACCCACAGCGAAGCAAAATAAGACGGTTTCACGAATTTAGCTCAGAGTCCTTATAATCTAACCCGTTGGCCGGTGTAAACCTTCTACCAAGGTAATTTACCAATATAGTATCTAGTAAGGGATATGGTAAGTGTTGTATGTGTGTAGAATTGAAAACAATTCTTGTCCAGCCTGAATACTTGGCGATTTGAGAATTGCAAAGATGGCTGGTCCATGGAGAGTGTCATCTGAGAAGGCGTGTAGACAACGTGACTGGTCGCGACAACAACAGCGCTTTGCTTAATATTCATTCTATGCCGGGCATATTCTCATAGCTTTAGCAAATRTGCAGTGTTGAGAATCTGATTTCAAAAATGTGAATCAAGCTGCTTTAGGCTTGTAACATTTATCGTCGTTTTTTGAACTCGAGACTTAATTCGTGTGCCGACAGCCCCGGAGACTGAATTCCTTCATATTAGACTCAGGCRTTCCGAATCAGGACTTCGAAGTCTAAATCCCTCTGGTTTGRGTAAGAAACGTTCTATCACAACAGGTTTGTTCACTCAAGCCGATTTTCTGAAACATTTGTGAACTTTCGATTGTTGAAAATTTAGACTGGTCGACTGATTAAAATTCATCCACGCACTTACTGCTGACGCTACAGGTCAAACCAAGAAATATCGAAAACGAACGATTGTATTAAATGTCATTAGTTTGTAGACATATGATACTTGTATTTATCATAAATTGTAGTTTAGATTGGAATTATCCTTAGGAATTTTATTAGACTTAAGTTCGGTTGTTTTCTGACATCAAAATGAGTGATAAGTCTGACAAATTATATTTGCAAAGAGCCTCGTTCATTTCAGCGGGTCTGACTGTCTTAACAGAGCGAAAGAAGATGAATTCTTGTACACTGAACATTCGAATTTGTAAGGACATTTTAGGGTTGAAACAGATTTTAMTTCCACTATAAAACTAATAGAAATCAGAGGATTATAAACGTCTCCTTTGCGAACATTTTGAACGCGTGTTTTGGGTGGCCACGCTCTGTTGAGCAGCGAAGTGAATAAATTATAAAATCTAGCGACATTCTGAGTGACACAAGCTAAAGACATACGGTTTCTGTGCACACATTCGCGTGTTATAATTGTAACATTGTTCGATTTAAACTCCACCGAATGACTGTCCATAGCTTGCGCAACTTTTGATATATTACAGATGCATATTGTTTAGCTCGGAACACAGGATTTTCGGGTGAAAGCGCTTAAGATAAATATTCATTAGATGGAATCGGGCTCAAATTTCGTGGCCTATTGTTTTCAAGATAAGGTCGTCTCCAACAAAATATTTCAACACTTTTGTTGGGGAAATCCACGGAGCTATATCTAACGTAGTKTGTSTGGTTAATTGTTAGATTTAAGGTCCCTTCGAATTGTGAACAATTTYCATCGATAACTATTGTTCAACGCCGTAAATAAAATCTGCTTTCCCTTCGTACGCATGAGTGACTGGCATGGTTTAGTCTGATGAAAGTTGGCTTTTAGAAAACAAATTAATGCATGATTGAATTGTTTAACCACCAAATCGTAGAGGTGCTCTCAGAGTCGCAGAAAATGGAAGCTGATCCATTATAAGTAATGTATATTTACATCCACAAGTTTTTCATCTGTGTCTTGTTTTGATTGGTCGAGAGGCGATGTGACCGAATTTTGAACAGACCTCGAGGTTCGAACTAGCCAAAGCGTCTTCTTTATTTTTCAATAGTGTTTATGTAAGTAAACTATTTAGCTTTGATTATTTCGCAGAGACTCTTGTGCATTTAAGTACCTTTTTTTGCTCACATATGATATTCTTATTTGAGCGTTTTCAATCTAATTATGGAGGCATATATGTTACAAAAAGAAATTCAAGGTGTTAACCATACGTCGCATTTTTTGTTTTTAAGAAAACACTTATATTCCTTTTTTATTCAGACTTATTTTTTCAATTAGGAAAGTGTTTTTTATTTAAGAATTGAACGAAACGGTTCGTTTCAATCCTTGTGGGTCATTAGCATATCCATCTGCTCACCAGGGTGACACAAAGACGGTGTATCAATGTAAGTTACGATTGGCTCAGTTTAAGGCCGCAATCAACCACTAAAACAGGCTAGCCATTTTAATTGTATAATTGAAAAAATATGAGAGCAAGATTATTTTCAAAATGACAACCATTGTATTTTCCAATTTTCATCTCTAAGCTATAAATTTTAGTTTGTTTATATTATATTCCTTTTTTTTTTTTGATTAAATGGTTTTAAAGCGTTCCTTTKTAACTCTACAGTTACATAGGCAACACACACTTTGTGGTAACTTTAGCCTCAGATTTTGTTTTAATAMGGCCATACTAATTTTAAAATTAAACAACACAATTTATTTTATATTATAAAAAGATTGGAGCTTATATTCAGTACATTTCAGTTTTGATAAAGTATTCATGCAGGCATACTAATTATACCAATTACGACTGTTTAGACTAAAACAATTGTCAAGATAGTTGAAGTTGTTTCCTTTCTCATCAAAATTGCTCCAGTTTTTCAAAGATTGTGACAAGGTTCTTCACAAAGAAGATTGTCAATGCTTTAYTTTGTCATTGAAGAAAATTAATAATAAAATACTCTAATACATTTCAAAGAATTTAAATCGTATTTTTATAATTCAAAAGGTTGAAGACGCCATGGAGGCTGAACCTGAAMCAGAGCCTGTGATGGATGACATAGTTCCTGAACAAGAAATGAAGGCAATTGAGAATAGTTCAAAAGATGAGAGAACTGTACAAAATGATGAAAAAATTACTCAACAATCAACAGTTGAATCCATCGATAATTTGAGCATGGAGAATGTGCAAGATAATCATGTTGTACAGGTTCCTTCTCCAGCTCCTYTACCCTTACCACCACCACCACCACTTCCAACCATATCATTACCTCCTCAATCAGCAACACCACCCCCACTTCCACCACTACTACCGCCGGCACATCCTGATCTACTGATTCTGGATGATGACACAATGCACACTGATATTATTGGTGATCAAAAAGAAGAAAATGCCATTGARGAGATGCTTCAAGATAATATGGAAGTTGATAAAACACAAGATAATGACGATGGTCTATCAGCTATGGATGACCTTGATAATGTGAGTATATATTATACAGGAAGTGTAGCAAATATTCAGTTCACAAAGTATGTTGAGAAATGTAGCCATTGTACTTTTTATGTCCAATTATTTCTAAACCCTGAGAAAGTTTTTAACAGGAATAAAGTGATAGGATTTTGTTAACTGTTGTGCAAAATGTTATCTCTGAACATTGCATATAGTTAAACATTTGGTGTTTAAACGTGTATTTAGTTTTCTGTTATCTGAACAAATGCCTATAGGGGGTGGGTTACCAGGTGCATGTCTMACTCATAATGAAACCATAAATTAATCATGAAATATTTGCTTGAAAGATGAATGTACAATAATATATGTATGGATTACAAAAAAAATGAATAAATCTAATAAATATATTCTTGCCTATAATCTGTCGTAGGATATCCCAGACAATTTGTACTCGATTGATGACTTGGTTGATGCACAGAMTGATGAAATGAAAGATGGTGCTGATGTTGATGGAGAACACAAACTGATACGAGCAAGGCCTGTTAATACAACAGAGTTGGGGTGTTGTGAATATTGTGGTGGTCCTGTGAAAAAACGAAGAATTTCTTCACCATTGAAAAAATTCTGTTCCAAAGCATGTGCTAGAAAYTTTAGAAAAGCAAAGGTTAAAAGAAAAATTATATCTCCTTTTACTTATTTTTTTTAGTGTTGACATATAAGTTAAGTCTTTTCAACTAAAGTTTAAAGGAATTTTATTCATTACTATTATACATAGAAGATAAACTAAAGATAACTGTACTCCTTTCACAGTTGATAAAGGACAAATGTCCAAAATGTCAGTATGTTATTCCCATACTTTTTATGGTGCAAATAATGTATCTCACAACTGCAACTCACAATAGTTTACTGATAATTCCCATCAAACTTATGTAAAGATAGAATGTTGATTACTTGGTTATTAAACATTAAGTATTTATAATTATTTTGTAGAGAGAGGATGAAAGTGATGYACAATCAGAAGATGTTGTTTCAGGTAATTCAAATAGTGAAAAATAAAGATGTTGAGCCAGGGTTAAGAAAAAACAACACTTTTRGTGTAACTTGAAAACAMTGGTTTTTGACATGTAAAGAGATTTGATTGACATTTGTGACTTTGGTGGTAYGTATGTGAATAATTATTGAATAAAAAACCAGCAGACTATCTGAAATTAATATAGATCTTTGTTATATACAACCAAAAATAGACATCACCTGCTGATGTAGACTAAGTTTAAGGATTTTTTTAAATTAACTTGTTGAATATTTTATGCATATTCAAAAGTCTATAATTTCAAGAAATAGAGAATTTGAATCTACAATATTGTAACTGACAGCTTGATGACAGAAGTTTGATATTTCTATTTCTTGATTATATTATGTTTGTGTGAAATTTAAGGAGGATCATCAGGAGCAACTATTAATGAGGGTGACCACAAAATGACATGGGATGATTACCTACAAGCAGCATCAAACAAAGCAGCTCCTGAAACTTGCTTTAAACATGTGAGTTGTYACTGGATCAGTTTTCATCATCTCTCTCATGACTAATGAGATGATATGATATTTTAGGAACTTCTTTGTACTGTTAGTAGTTAGCCTGATTTACATGATGACAAAAGGATTAGGCTGAAATTAAAATTGATTGGTTAAGAAAACAGAATTATAAAGGAAGGCATTCCTTTAATTGTTTCTTGTGCTTAGCCTTATGCTCATGATTTTMTMTGCTATTTCAAAAGGAATGCCTTGTTTTCATACTTGATATCTCTCCTTTGTSTTGTGTTTGCAACTTTTGCTTTGTGTCATTATATGAACCAATTTGCTGAAAGTGTTTAACAATCGTTTGACTTTTGACAAGTTACAAGTGAATATGATAGAAATTAAATRGTATAAAAATACTGCATACCTTGTCAATAGTAGTTATAATCTATTTTTTAGATAACCACAGATGTTCCTGGTCTGAAACCTGGAATGAAGCTTGAAGCAGTAGACAGAAACAATCCACCATCATACTGCGTTGCTACTGTTATCAAATGTGTTGGACATCGAGTGTGCATCAGGTATGATGGGTATGGCAGTGACAGCACCAATGACATGTGGTGTAATTACCAGGCAGAAGAACTCCATCCAATTGGCTGGTGTGCACAAAATGGCTACCCGTTGCAACCTCCAAAAGGTAAATAATTTTTCTTTGATAAGATGAATTAATGACTTTTAGAAAAAATTCATATTATCAGAGGAATTATTGATAAAACGTTTATCAAAATGAATACAAAAGACATGAACAAGTGAATGCATTTGAATATTTGATTTGTATTGTAGGTGTAAACAGCAGTTTGGAAGCATGGAGGACTTTTCTAACCCAAACACTCACTGGTGCCTTGGCAGCTCCTCAGGATCTCTTCAAAAAGGTACTATAAATTATCATACTTGCCAATCAGTAATACAGCTGTATTAAGGCATACTGTAGTGAGCATCTACATCGAAATAGTCCCAGAACTTGGCGAAGTCCATTGGCTTACTAGCCCGGATCATTTAGTATGTGGTCTCAAACTAATGAGGCCAGTCATTCACTATAAATCTTTATAAGAAGACTTAAATGCCAGGCTGACCTTGAGAAACTGATAGACCAGACAGGAATCTAGTAGGTTTTTACATTAGATGCAATGTTCATTCTATTACATTTAATATATTTTTTAGTCCCAGGAGCATTTCCAACCAAGAGTACATGGTTTTGAGGTTGGAATGAAGCTGGAAGCTATCCATCCACTTCGTCCATCTATAATCTGTCCAGCTACTGTTACCAAGAGCCTTGGGCCCTATTACTTTGCTGTTACCCCTGACTACCAACATGATCTTCCCCCAACAACATTCTGTTGCCATAGTGACTCACCTGGGATTTTCCCAATTGGCTGGTGCTATCGCAATGGAATTGAACTCACATACCCAGCTAGTAAGTGGCTTTTGAATAATATGATGAACTTTGGTTTTATGTTAGTGTCATGGTTTTGTTTTTGCTGCATCTTGATAAGTAGAGCACTAATTTCACTCAGCTTTTGTGCTAAAATCAAATCTAATTATGTTTTTTAGATTACTCTAAGAAGACATTCTCCTGGCCGAAGTATTTATCTATCTGTAGAGCCACAGCAGCGCCATCACAACTGTTCAAGGTGAAAAGMTTCAACAAATGAAAAAAGCAATAATTCTGTTATTTAACTATTGAAAATGCCAAACGTTTTTCAGAAGGTGAAAGCACACAAGTTCAGAGTTGGCATGAAAGTAGAGGCTGTAGATTTAGAGCAGCCAGCAGTAATATGTGTGGCTACAATAACCAATGTCATCGGAAGGCTATTGTTTCTTTTCTTTGATGGCCAATCAAGATTCCAATTCGTTGATGTTGAATCGCCGGACATTTACACTATTGGTTGGTGTAAAAGAACTGGACACCCTTTGGTAACACCATTTGGAGTCAGTAAGTTTGACTTTAGCTTTATACGAGTTGGAGATACTGGCTTTAGTCTTCGACCTGTTTAAAATAAGCTCAAAAAGTACCCCTTTATGCAAAATTGTTGACAAAGGAAGGCAATCTTCTATAACTTTGACGATCCAGGCCTGATTTCGTTGCTCTTTTTCTACTGTGTTTGGCGATAAATGAAGATTTTTTCAACGCGCATGGGTAGAACGCGCATTCCCATATTCTGATTGACATATAACATTTTTATTTTTCAGTGCCATCAAATTATGACTCAAAAACAAAGTAAGTGTGAAAAGCAAAGGATTTTGTGTTTGTTTGCAGCTATCAGCCCCTCGCCCCTGCTCGACCCCGGCTATTAACTGGAAAAACTCTCGAACGTAGCGAGGGCTTTTCCGGAAGTGACGTAGTGTTTTGTTGGTTTCTGGTTTGTGATGTTTTCTGTTGGTTTGTAATTTTTGTTGTTGCTCAGTTCTTTGTTTGTTCTCGTAATGGTTTAAACTTTTAGTTTTTTTCACTCACATGCAATTRCTGAGTTGTAKTTCTTTCAATACGGTCATCAATTATATGGTACTCTTGTTGTTTTGTCAGGGTTGCCGAAACTGAAATCCTTTATCTACCATCATTTGACGAAGTGATGGGCAGACAGGCTCCGACAATGCCTAGTTCAGCTCTTAGTAAGTTTGACTTTAATTTTAAATATTACTTTTAATGCTTCTCTTTTGTATTTTTTTTTTTAAATAAAAAACGCGTCCACCCTGTCATTCTTTATGAGTATTCATTACGACTACGTAAGTTTGAGATTCAGAGTGTACGTGATTTTTATTTTATGGATCTTAGTGTGAGCACTTTACTGACTAAGTCATATATTCTTTTGACGGCACGACTTTAGGCGTTCTGTCTTTTAAAAACTTCCGATAGCTCCAACGTCACTTACTGCAAAAAATCAAGCATAGTTTTCCATTTATCTAAATTACAATGTACTTTATGAATTTCAATCTCTGTCAGCCGCTATAATATCCAACACGCTTAAGTCAATTTTTAATTACATCATTTACCGCTCTTTCTTTTCCATAGCAATTCTCCCAAGAAAGCCAAGTACCAGGTATGACAATTATACTTATTTTATAAACACTACTTTCTCTTTTAAACCATTATCATTGGTTTGTGCGTAATCCATCCCGGAAGTAACGCATCTCTGACGGTGTCCGCCAGTTTAAAATTGACAAGCAATATGCAAAAATTATGAACCCTCCAAATGCATTTTCGTTTGATTTTTCTTTTAGAAATGAACCAGACAAGGAAAAGGAAAAAGAGAAAGAGAAGGATGACCAAAAGGGAGGAATGGAGTCCGAGGAAAAGTCTGGCGATAGTGATATTAGCGAAGATGATTGCCTAGGTATGATGATATAAGAGATACCATAATTAATGTTAAATCAACAGCTAAGGTCTGAGGGTAGATGGACAAAAAGAAAATGATGAATAATAAGTCACTAGCTGTTACAAATGTTTTTTGTCAATGGGACACAGTACCAGTAACTCTAATTAAGTTCATTTTATATAAGATTGACATGCATGCCATGTTTTCTCTTGCCAACACCACCAATAGAGCTAAACCAGTACTTAACAACGTCAATATATCTTTATTTGATCGCTGCTTGGTTCTCAGAATTATAGTATAATTTCAATTTGAACGTTACAATGAATAACCAATTGTGATAGAAATACGACTGACTGACTTGATAAGAGAAAAATATTTCAACAATTTATCCAATTCGATACAGTTAAAAAGGCAATTCTCTACAATATCATGATATCAGTMATTTCCGAGTCGTACTAAAAAACCGCTTATAAAAAGACGACTAATGAGACAGTTTTCTTTTTGAGACCCAATTAATGAAACTCATCTACATTTCTATTGATTTCCAGCCTCGGAACGTTTTTATCACAACAAAAATCAGATATTCTTCAATAAAGGTTGTTGCATTGGTCCCTTACTAAACCCAGAACAAGTTAAACTCTTGCCAGATGCAACACCGCCCGGCAAAGTGAGCACTGTAATACGAACAGGCCTTGAAATGGTAGCCCAAGCCGCCTTGGATCCAGAGAAAGTGATTGATTTGATGCAAGAAGGATGCGGTGTTCGCGTCACAATAAAGCACCAAGGAAAACTATTAAAAAAGGTGTGTTTTTTTTTAAGAAAGGATATTTGATACTTTATAGTCCTAAAATATTGATTTCTAAAGACTGCGATTAACGCGTAATGAACATCAATTCTTGCTAATGTAGTAGACAAGAACGTAGGTTTTTTATTTCAGGATAGATATTATTTTTTTTTGTGTGTGTGGGTGGATGCTACACTTGCTTTATTCCAATAAACGTTAAAGATTTTCTATCAAGGTTTGCGCTATGTAGTAAAAACTACTTGATTATTCAAAGTTTTTGAAATGGGTATTGATTAAAAGATAAGTTACGTGGAGTGTCTATATATCCTTTGGCATGACGTCACATCAACGCCGAAACGTCTAGAATAAATATCCTTAACTGCAGTCATTACCTCACTTTGCATTTAAAGCTAAGCAACTGAAATATAATTCTCTGCAAACGAGATATTTTCGTTTAGAACTCCAATAAACGTACTCTTTTGTGTCCTTTCAGGCGATATCCAGAGTCGACTCAAGGCCTAAATTAGAAAGATACCTAAAGCGTTTTTGCAGAAGGCTGATCTGTTGTGAATATTTCTTAAGTCTAAAACCAGTTGGCCAGCCATGCCCGGACCAGTGTAAATCAGACGGTAAGATCTGTATGAATCAACATTTACATTACATGTGAGGCGGTTTTATGTCCTGAATGACAACTTTTGCACCTGTAAGTAAATTGCTTAAAGGAGAAGTAAATTATCTCAAACCTCAATACAATTGATATCAGTATACTTAGAAAATCAATAATTTTCGTATTTTCTATCCTTAAGTGTCTATGTGTATAAAACAATTTGCGTACGTTCGGCGCGTGTTTTTTTTCCTGATTAACGAAAAAGTGTTGTAATATCTTTGCATAGTTAACTATATGGAACGTACTACGAGCTCAGTTAGGTTAATAGTTTTGTCATGTGAAAGGAAATTAGTTGCAAGATGACATCTCTCAACAAAATATCAGGTGGCAACATTGTTCTCGATTAAGGGGAAAAAAGGGAAAAAAATTGACACCCATATGCTTTACATTGGATTTATTATCATGTGGATCTCTAGGTTGTTATAGTAATTTTTCGGATATCTTACATACTCATCTACGATATTTATTGATAATTATACAGAATTGTTCTTTGATTGAAACTTTACGGATAATTACAAACGGGTTGCAAAAGATGAATGCTTTATACTGGATTTCGGTAGCTTGTCGCTTTGTTTTCATTCTGCCGGCTGCTTATTTGTTCGCTTCACTCGTCAAACACCTGGAATCCTTCAATAATTAATACCCTACGAGATCTCCTTACGTCACGTTGGCAAGCTCGGTGTTATTCTTAGCTTATTTCGCGTAAAATAGCACAAACCTTTTTTTATTAATTGTTTTTGAAAACTTAATGACAATGGTAAAACGTCTCTAACATGTTTTTTCTTGATATGTGCCTAAAAAGATCAAGGAAATTTGCAAGGGCCTAAAGGACTCAAAGCAAAGCGTTCCCGAGAGTATTTCGAAGTTAAACATCTTGGTTTTGAGAAGAAGAAACGTGGCCGTAGAAGACGTAAAACAGAGATTCTTGGAATTGGCCCTTCGCAACAAGGAGCGGTTATGAAGACGGCGTCTTCAGAAAATGGCACTCCAGTACCTGCCACGTCTGTCCTTCCATCCACTGTCAGAAATAGACAGCTCGCCCCGGCATATCATATTCAACCCAATGGAAGTACGGTAAATAGACCTGCTGTTGCAACCGCAGCACTTCCAGGTGTCCAAGCCCCTGTAGTCCGCTATCAAGGCCCTGGTAACGTAGCTGTAGTTAGGCCAAACACCAATCTACAACTTCCTGTTCGTTCACATGGCAATCCTGCCATTGCTCCAGCACAGACTCCTCAATTAGTGATTGGCTCACTCCACGCAAACGCACCAATAGCAAAGCAGGTAAGGTCACATTGTGTTCGATAGATAGTATTTACTCTTTATTAGTGAACACTTTGTTTATAGTGGGAACACATCATAGAAGCTGCAATAGAAAGGTATATATACATACGACAAGATAGTTTAAAAGTAGGTAACTATTTCTCTGCGGCATTATTAACCAAAACAAGAAAATCAAACTTGAAAATAATTTGTAGTCACCTTGTGATCATGCAAATATCTCAATTTCAGTCATGGACGTCACTTAAGTTGAAATTGCTTTTAAAACGAAATCAGATAAATAGATTCCACTGTACATTTTTAGTTATAGACATTATTATCTTAAATTTTAATGCCTATTAATGTATCAGGAAGAAGGAATATTGAAAATGGGGAATGTTAATTCTGACTCTTCCGCCCTCCGTCATATTAATAGATATCAACAACTCCTTAACATCGTTATACATAAATTACGTTTGTATTACGTACGCTCACTGCATTTTTAAAGAATATATGTGTTTCCATAGAAACGGCAACCTAACGTATTTGACAAAACTGTATCAGAAGATTTACAGGCCGCAGCATCTTTCTTAGTGTCATTTAGTGCCTGCATATTGGAAGCCATGAATGTGTTGACGAGTACAAACATTTTCAGATGCGTGTAGACTCGAACCATTTATTCGAAAAAAATGAAATGAAGTAAAAAAAAATGCAAAAGCAAACAACTTCCCGGCTTCGCGTTGGTGTTCTAATTTCACGATACCACGAAGAGGCAATCGTTTTGAAAAAATCGTGTTGGGTTTACAGAACGCATTCTACAGTCAAAAGTAATTACTTAATATCAGGTTACTAACTATTTTGTGACCTTTTTACCACTATTTTCAGGATGGATTACTAGCAAACGGACGCACGCTAATCATGACATCATCTGGTACAACAAAACCACGGATAGTGACAAATGTCTCCAGCCAGCGATTTGCTACAAGCTCCAGCGGAGGTGGGACTACCATAACATTTGGTCGAGCCCCACCCAACGTAACCGTCTGCTCATCGCTCACACCACCTCCACTGACAAGAATTTCAGATACGGTGGAGAGCATTAGCGCCGAGTTAGGAAGTGGTAATGCAGCAATTGCACCGAGTCCAAAGTCTATCGTTGGAAATTTTAATCTGGCGCCTTCTTCCCACTTGAATTCTTCCCGTGGGCCTCCTAATGTGGTGGTCTCGTCTGTCTCTCAGGCAATGGCGATGTCAGGGGGAATAGCTCAAGTTTCCGAGTCGACATCAAGTCAGTACACCTCTGGTGGTAATACAGTCGGAGGCGTCGTTCGCGCTCCAATCGTTATCCCACCGCAAGTCAAACAGGAAACCCCTCCACCTCCCCCTTTAGTCCACGCCTCGAAAGTGTCTAGTGGTGTCCGAATGGTTGGACCAGGTACTGTGGTGGCATCCACCAAAGTAAGCCTTGCACCGTCATCCTTTAGTCAAGTCCGGAGCTTTTCGCAGAGATCGTTCAATAGCCCAAATGGACAACCCATGTACAAACTTGCAAGTAATACTTTAAACTCACAAARTCCCCCTAAACGGACTGTTTTCATTCGCCCTGGAAATGTTAAGAGTGATAACTCGATTAGCACTAGTCATAAACATATCATGTCAAGCTATGCAAGTCTTTCTCCACGCATCTCACCAAAGCCGCCTTCAATGAATCAGGGGGGTGCAGGAAATGAATCTTCCAAAGTTACAATCACAAGACATTCAACACCAATGTTCCAGACGCTTGGCCAAAAGACTAGGCCCATAATTGTAAGTACTAGCTGTTGAAGACAGTGGGTTAAAATAAATAAATGGAAGGATGAATGCATGAATGCATGACTTTACGGATAGACGGTTAGATTATAATAACAAAGTAAAGGGATGCTTAAACACAAAATATTAAATGATGATCGGCGTGCAGTAATTSTCATCATATCGCAATTATATCTTCCATATTACTAACTCATATTATTTGTAAAGCCCGCCAAAAGACAAGCCATCCAGACCATCCACCATAACCCCTCTTCCTCTCAAGAAACAACCTCGTTTCCTTCGCACACTGTGTCGACTGCTGTCAAACCGTCACAAACCGTACAAAGTGGAACGCTGGAGAAAGTCAGAGCTGGTATAAAATCCAAATCAATACACTTGGAACACAAAGTGAATAATAAAGATACACACCTAATTAAACAGGAAAAGAAYAAAGATTCGCATTACGCTGGTATGGACCATGAGAAACCCGATGAAGACGAACACTTCGAAAAGATGATCGGGGAAGCACCAAAAACGAAAAGAAACTTATGGTGGCTTAATAAGAAGAGAAGAAGAAAGCGTTCTCGTCTTACGTACATGAAGCCGTCAAAGTGTCGCAAGAATGAGGATGGAAATGAAGGTAAGTGGTATACTCCTGGCGAAAGGACTTCCGTAAAGTTGTATTCTAATAAGTCTATTTTCATTGGTACCATACAGTGAGCGATGAATTTTACCTGTCAGAAGATGACATGGAAGACCCTGCATTGCTTGAAGAGTATTTAGATTACCCTGACAGACCTAAACGAGGGAGGATCAAYGAACTGAATGATTTTGTTATGAGACTTGAGGACGAGGAGGTTTTAGGCATGGCCGACGAACAKGATCCTGACTGGGATGAAAGCATGGAAGGCAAAAAAGTGAAGCCGCAAGTGAAACCAAAACGCAAAGGATTTGGACGGCCGCGTAAAGGTAATGCTTGTTGTGAAGTCATTTAGTAGTCTTTTGCGACAGTCGGACACCTGCCGCCACTTCGTTCTTGCACGTCTTAACCTTTTTCAAGCCTTTTCTCGATTTATTTCTTAGATGGGGGATCCGAATTGTCGTCTCCAACTCTTTCCAACCCACCTTCTCCTTTACTGCCCTCACCATCGAATACACAGAACAGTTCGTACGCCCGTCGAACTAATATCAAACAGCTACTACCGACAGACTCGAAATCGCACGTTATAAAGCTGGAACCGGCCCCACCCCGTCGACCTTTGAGCGTTTCGATTGACAACGATGAAGGCGTGTCTTTCAAAGGAAAACATGCTCAGTCTAATTCTTACTCTACTGAAGATGGTAAGATCAACTCAACTTTGTCCCTATTTAGATCTTCTCAAACGAATCCTTCCGTTTTGTTAGGATATTCTTCACGACAGCCATTCAAATCAACGTCGTCCCACGCGTCGCCAATCAGCCCGAAGTCTCCTTCATTAAAACGAAGACGTCTGGTGGACGTTGGAGTGAACACTTCATTGCCAGGGTGTGTGAATGGCCGATCACCTGACCTGCCAAGCAATCCTTTGTCGTGGTCTGTTGATCAGGTCATTCGGTATGTTCGTTCCACCGACTGTGGCCATTATGCGGTTATTTTCAAGGAGGAGGTAATTKTGCGGCAGTGTTTACAAGTATCCGGACACCTTTTAAAGGCGCACATTTTCATTTTAAYTGATAATAATTGAATATCAATCTCATTTTTCAGGAAATCGACGGTCAGGCACTCCTTATGTTGTCACGTGATGCCCTGATGCAGTTCACACCGATGAAACTTGGCCCCACCCTGAAAATGTGCAGCTATATATCACAGTTAAGACTCAGAGCCAAATAGGACGATAAGCCAAATTTTCACGAGAAACGCGACTACATACATAGAATTTCATTGGAACTATGACTAATGAGACGGACTATCTTTGTGTCTGGAATAGATCAAACATCTAGTCTAAGACTTTGCGCAAATATCGTTTTTTTGTCATTAATCCTAAACTTCGGAATTCATGAAACACGACTCCTATTGAACTCCTAGTTTCTGTAAGTTGTCTTTATACAAACGTTACCATAAATTGGTATGAGAAATAAGTGTATGATTGCTAATTTGTTAAATAAACAGCTTTTGTTAGAAGATAATAAATCAATCTTTATAACAAAGTATTGTGGTTGTYCATGATTCAATAAAAAGGTTGTTGGTGTCATTGGAGAATGCATAACAGCATTTATGATGGAATTCCTTGATCAAAGTCAACCAATTCAGTATCATTTATCCCACATAAAAATCTGCACAAAATTTAGTTTTGAATTATCTCCAGAAACCAGGAAACTTTATAAGGAAGCTTCCTTATTAAAGTGGGATAAGGCGGCTCCCTCATTAAAGTTGGGTGTGGTCCCCCTGGGGCAGATTCAAGGGGGTGCMGAAGGGGGCAAGTCCAAATTGGGGGGAGGGGGGGCTAATTCAATGCCATGTATATTTTTATTACATATCATATAATTCAAATCCTTATAAGATAATCAAACATGTTTTTTTAATCATGTTTTACTTGTTTCATATATTTCTGAAAGAGCACGAACCATAAAGCCCACAAATAGAAACATACTTCAGGCTTACAGTTTGTTATAAAATTACATTAAAAATTGTAAAGGACTTGGTCAATGTATTGCATTGAAAACCATGATTTTGTTTAGCATTCCAATCTCCCAGGACACATGCAATAAAATGTGAAATACTTATTTTACAATAACACTAATTTGGATCATATCTCTTTTTAGATATTTGTATTCATTTGAGCATAGAAAATCTGAAAATATAAAAATGCATGCACCTCTATAATAAAATTGATCAAAATAACTATTTTCCAGAATGATTTTGAATTTGATGAGCACAATCCACTGAGAAATGTGTGTAGTTCCTGGTATTTCCTGGCCAGTGAAGTCTTCCCATATGAGGGTTAGACAAGGCCTTGCTCCATCATTGCATTGGCAACCTTGACAAAACCTCCAATGTTGGCACCCTTCACATAATCAATATAGCTTCCCTCTRAAGATCCGTACTTAACACATGTATCATGGATGGATTGCATGATCCCTGCAAGTTTCTTGTCTACTTGATCACGTGTCCAGGCCTGACGCTCGCTGTTCTGGCTCATCTCCAGCCCAGAGACAGCAACACCACCAGCATTTGTTGCCTTACCAGGTGCATACAGAACTTTGGCTTCCTGGAACACTTTGATGGCTCCTGGTGATGTTGGCATGTTGGCACCTTCTGCCACTATAGTACATCCATTYTTCACCAACATCTCGGCTTCCTCTTTGCTGACTTCATTTTGTGTGGCACACGGCAGTGCAACATCGCACTTGATGAACCATGGTCTTTTTCCCTCATGAAACTCACAATTGTATTTCTTGGCATATTCCTTGATACGACCACGCTGGACATTTTTCAGCTCCATCACAAATGCTAACTTGTCTTTGTCAACGCCACTGGGATCATACACAGTTCCATTAGAATCTGAAAATGACACTACTTTACCACCCAGTTCTATGGCCTTTTCTGCTGCATACTGAGCTACATTTCCAGATCCTGAGATGGTGATTATCTTATCCTTGAGACTCTTGCCATTTGCCTTGACCATCTCCTCAACAAAGTACAATAAGCCGTAACCAGTGGCTTCTGGTCGTATCAAGCTTCCTCCCCATGTTATTCCTTTTCCAGTAAGTACTCCAGTAAACTCATTGCGGATTCTTTTATACTGTCCAAACAAGAATCCTATTTCACGGCCACCCACCCCAATATCGCCAGCTGGGACATCAGTATCTGGGCCTATATGCCGCTGAAGTTCTGTCATAAAGGACTGGCAGAAGCTCATCACCTCAGTGTCAGATTTTCCTTTGGGGTCAAAGTTGGATCCACCCTTACCACCACCCATAGGGAGGGTTGTCAAGCTGTTTTTAAGAACTTGCTCAAAGCCAAGGAATTTTAAGATGCTGAGGTTCACAGTTGGGTGAAAACGAAGACCTCCTTTGTATGGGCCAATTGAAGAGCTGAATTGCACACGGTAGCCTTTATTTACTTGGACCTGGCCCTTGTCATCCCTCCATGGTACTCGGAACATGACAACCCTCTCAGGTTCTACAAGACGCTCCATGACTCCAGCTTTGATGTACTCAGGATGTGCCTTGAGGAAATCCCAGATTGAATGCACAACCTCCTCAACTGCTTGGTGGAATTCATCCTCTCCTGGATTGTTTCTTTTCACAAGCTGGAGAAAATCATCAGGGCTTTTGCAACCACAACAATCCTGTGAAGACAGATAAACATGAACTGAATTCTGTTAAGATATATGATAAACATTTAGTCAATATGATATACAAAGGTAGAAGTGTAGAAAATGTAATTCCAGTAATCAATCTCCAAATTCTTATTTAAATACATATATTTAATAAAAATATATTTGTCCATCTTTTGTATATGATTTCTCTCTTTCACTATACTAAGAGCAGTGAAAAAATGCTACTGCAATATGTCTCTGATTCATGCAAATAGCTCCTGCTTGTCGAATCCAGTAAAAGCTTTCCTTGGTCAGCAGGGTGCCTCTTTTTAAACTAAGCTGGTACCTGCCACTATGGGATAAAGTTAGTGTCTTTTAAAGGTTTTTTAACAGGGTCAGTTTTTAACAGTAAAGAAATTACTATGCCCGCATTGAATTGACCTTTAATGTTTCAGAAATGAAGCAGCTGAAAACTCTATTGTTATTTTGATTGAAATATGCTAATTTGAGCATTGTCGAATGTAATATTTATATAAGAGAGTTCATGCAAGTCACTAGATATCACCGAGGGGCCAAAGTCCAGCACAGGCTACTAGAGTTGCAAAGACGGATAGCTATTAACTAATCGCCAATTTTTGAACTTTGGATCATAGTTATAAGTCTGATCTAGACAAGTTTTAGATATATTTAAGGTAGTGAGCTGATAAAATATCATATGGATAATATAATACCATGTATTGGATATTTACACAAAAAGCACACATAACTAAAATACTTTGTACTATTACAAAAACACAAATTTGCTTTATATCTAGAAAAACGTTTTGTATCGATGGTATGTCCCCCAACGTGCGTGGCGTAAACACCTAGCAAATCTTTGTTTATATAAAAAACAGATCGATTTTTAAAGTTAAAAGCAATCACACGTGGATACGATATTGTATATTCTGATGTGTCGCTAACGAACTGTGGAAAAGCATGAAACTAAAGTTGAGATTTTAATTTAAGACAAAATTGCAATTATCAAATGAGCTGTACGTCACGCGAGCCTGTCCGCCCTTCATGGAAAACCGTTGAGATCACATTAAAGTTGCATTGCTTTTAAGCAATAAAGGCACTATTTTCAAAACTTACCATATTGCAAAACTAAAGATTCTCAAAAGCACGAGAGACTTTCCAGCTTCAAGCGAACAGTGAGAGGCAGGGAAAACCGTCGGAGTCGTGATCGATGTTCCACTCGATTTGCAGAAAAACGATCTGATTGGTTGCTTGGTATGACAAGCTGTCACATAGGGTCACGACATCTCTCAAAGCGTGCACATCGTATTGAGGAACGAGGTAGGCACGTGAAAGTAATTCCACACCTGAATGATAAAAGTGTGCAAATATATAATTCTTCTTTTTCTTAAATTCGGACATTTCTTATCGCTGTCTACCGTTTTACCGTCGAGGAATTCTTGTAAAGTTTGGTCCCTACCCCTGGTGGGGAAATCAGCACAGGGGGAGGAATGGGTATGTTTTAGCATAATTCAGTTCCACTCAGGCATTCCTCATCTTCAAAACGAACCTTTCAAAACAACTGTTTTTTTTTTCTTTGGTTGTGTGCATGCTCATTTGGTTTAGGATTTTAATATTTTGAAATTCCCAGTCACATGTTTTGAACAATAAACCACAGATCAGCCAAGGGAGGGGTCAACAATTCAAAAACTCCTGTATCACATGTTACATCAACTAAAATAGTTATGTCATTTGAATGACATCAACTATTTCAGGTGACTAAACAACTTWACCTTATTTTTTACATATAAAAATCGCCAATATATTATATTTATTATTAGAAAACAAAAGTAAATACATTAATATAAACTTTCAAAATATTCAAAGAAAAATGCAGATATTGCACACAAAATATACAATATGTACAGTTAGCTCATTAGATAAATTTAATTTGGGAAGTATTAAAATATTACAATATTCAACATTCAACAATATACAACATTCTTAAGTTTACAAAATAATATCAGACTTTTGATAAAAGAGTAAATAAGGTGACATAAAAGAAGATTCTGATGCAGATAGTACATCAATAATGTCCTTCTCTGYAACACTATCAACAGAGCAGTCATCAAAATGCACCCAGTCTTTGGTTAGCAATTCTTGGTGACAATTCTTGTTGTTTACAGACAATACATYGTCTGCAACGCCTTGCTCATCAGATTCACTGCTTTCTTTATTTTCCRATGAATCATTGATAAAATTGAGTTTGCGAATGGTAGAAGATTTTGTAGAGGTAATCCTTCTAAATGATTCTTCAATGGTTCTATTGAYCTTCTGATTRGWGGCCTTCTTTGRCTCATCATGGYTACACTCTTTACCTGAACAGTCTTCTCCATTCCCATTTCTTTTGCCTTTTTCAACAACATGCTGTTCTGGTTTATCCAACTTTGAATTATTTGATTGTTTTTTGGATTTTTGAAAGTACTTAGTAATCAAAGAGATGCAAGAYGACTTTCCATGAGAATTCAAAGGACTCATATTACTCTCTACGGCTTTTTCATCTTTCTGTTGAGTGCTTGGTAYCTCACCTGGATCTGAACGCTTGTTGGATTCCTCTACTGTTAAATCAGTGGAAGATTTCTTTGSTTTTCTAGGCCTGAGATGTCTTTTAGAAGGTCTTTTCAAACCATTATCCTCCAGTGATTTCACTTCATGGCTTTCAACACAGTTTTGATTGATATCAAACTTTGCTGCATTGTTTGTTTCTGCATTAATGTCATGGTTTGCATTTAAAGCAATATTGTTAATTTCATTTCTATTACTGTGCTTTGAGGTGGTATCTTTCATTACTGTATCAATAATATTACCGTCTGATGAAGCAATATTATCAATCACTTTGTTACTATCTCTGCTTGGTTCTTTACTTTTCCTTTCAGTTGTTAAATCGCAGGTTGTGCTGTGTGTAGGATTGCTATCAATGTGTTTGTTATGAGTGTCTGTGTTATGATTGATAGACGGTTTCATATCATTTGTAATCCCTGCCTCACATCTAGAAATTGGTTCCYCTTTGTTCTCAGTAACTKCATCACCWTTACTTACTTTAGTACCATTTACTGTCAYGCTATTCTGGTTCTTTTGGTCAGTCRTTGGTATTCTAATGTAAGTCTCATAGTGGCCACTACCTGACGTCAAACCACTGTGTAACACAATGCCAAACAACTCATAAACACTGCTTTTTGACTGGCATTTCTTGGAGCACCATTCTTGTACCGATAAAGAAAGAGGAGTTGCTAAGTTACTGGTAATCTTAGATGAAAGTCTAGGAAGTGAAATAAGAATATYGTTAGACATATTATATAATGCATCATTCAATTATCAGTTACAAATAACAGATAAAATGCAATTACCCGATAGATGATGTGAATCTCTTTAGATGTACAGTCAGCACTCTAGGTAGCTCTTCAAAACAAGTACTAATCCTAGCCTCACAATAWGTATTGCAGTTTTCACAGAAATATTTGTTGTCACCCTGCAGGCATTCACTGGAGGCAAATTGTGAGATTGCCCACTGTAAAGTACGAACATCGGATTTGTTCTTCTTTGGTGTTGGGGACAGCATTAACTTCTTCCTGGCATCCAAGTATGGCTGGTCCTCAACTACAGGAACACTTACTTCCTGGATGTCCTCGTACCTCAGTTTGGATTGCTCACAATTGAGACACTTTGTTTGGTGCACTAGCTTGCCTTGGAACAACTGTTTGATGAAGGAAGCACCTTCTTGTAAAGATTTGAGAGACCTGTTGTGTTTAGTGGATGATTTTCTTAGTGGAGGCAAAGGAGTTTTGGAGTAGTGCTTTTTGATTTCATTGGCTGATTCCTGCAGTGCCATTATCAGAGAGCACAGGAACTCTTGTGCATCATGCTGTAAGTTGCATTCAAARGATGGATACAGTTCTCTAAAGGATTGAAAAACATTATGAATATAATCTAGCACAGTWATGTATGATGCTGTTATCAATGTAAATAGATATAACATATAATACATCATATATGTTATTTCAGTTATACCTGAAGGCTGTCATGAAGTCATGTGGTTCTGCAGCCAATACAAAGTTAGGTCCTTTGCACTTCAAATGTTCACAATTTTCCTTGTCMGTCAGGAAATCAACTTCACACGTTAACATCTCACTAAGAAGCTAAAAGAATATTAAATGTCAAACTAAAATTCTAAGAATCAAACAAGCAACATTTAATTTTAGTATTTCTGAATATTATACATGTAACATTGCAACTGTCCTGTTGGGATGACAATCAATTCATTAAAATGCATACCTTACATAGGTGAGTTACAAGGTATTTTGGTTCAATATTTGTATCCTTTTCATTATCACATGTATCTTCTATCATCTAGACATTATAAGAAATATTAATATTACAACATTGCAATAATGTATCAAGATCCCTTCTCAGTCTTGCAGCTACTRTATATTAATAAGGTGGCTGTTCCCACAAAGAAGGGATGGCTATCTTTCMACATTGAAGGCCACTGATCTTGCTGACCCCCATGATCTCTGCCCCTTTCATCACAAAATACCCTTTAACATAAAGATCTATCTTGTTCKGACTAGAATCMCTTGACATACCTGAATATCTTTWGCAAGTTGGCTGACAAACAGTTCAAAGCCTGGACATCGACGCAAAACTTGTAAAACCGCATTTGCATARCAGATATTCCCCCTATTYAACAAACCAGAAAGCGCATATGATGGCAGAGCAGGTACAACTTCCATTCCAGGAKTACCATCRATTTCCTGAGCTGGTGAACGAAAGATGGGAAAAAATTTGTCATTTTTCTGCGGGCCTGTGTCATTGGATTCTTCATTTCCATCTTGCTCTTTCTTTGATTTGCTTTTCCCCTTCAAACGTAGTGAAAATTTAGCCTTTTTACGTGGCGGACTGCAAGTCGGACTGGATGGAGGCGTCTCGGAAAGATCTACTGGAGCCATTTTCACCGTCTATTCTAACAAGGCTATAAATGAAAGATAAATGCTACAGGAGGCAATTTAACTCATGTAAGTTATATTTACCCGCCATTTTTAGAACATTGCATCTACTACTGCGCATGATTTGACATTGAACACAGGGACTCCACGCTGGAAACATTTAAATTAGCTTCCTTTTCTACTATTTTTTGCTACTTATCTTTCTTGAGACTCCTTTCTGGAGGTACTAGAGCGAAAATAATAATATTTCAAGAAATTGTCTAAAAAATAACCTAAAATAATGATAACAGAGTAAATTTGAAATATCAAATTTCAGTGTGTTTGGGTTCCCTGTTTAGATAATTTATTCACATCCGGGAGTTCATTGATTGTGTCAGCCATTTTGCATGTGGATTTTCCTGGTCGAAGGCATTTTTCTCTAAATTTTTAACTCATTTTTGTTGGCATCGACATGGGACGAAAAAAGAARAAGACTATGAAACCTTGGTGTTGGTATCCTTTATTTACAAAAGAGTCATTTTTTGTAGATTAGCGTGTTTTATGTCRTGATTTCACAAGATTAATTTTATGAATAGCGATGTTTGGGAAGCTTAGCTTACATCTGYAAGCGTAACATAGTTAAACTTAAGTAATTTGCCTCAGAATCGTGTGTGACTTCGGCTTCAGTTCAGTTTGTTCTATCTGAAGTGATACAACCTCTGTTTTCGCTTTAGTTACGTCATGGTTTCAATTTGTTTAAATGAAATGTAAGAAATTTTGTAAAATCATTTATTCTTTAACCAAATCAAAGGTACTGTAATAGAGATTTTGACGATGAAAAGATATTAATTCAACATCAGAAAGCCAAGCATTTTAAATGTATGATATGTCACAAAAAGTTGTACACTGGGCCAGGTTTGGCCATTCATTGTATGCAAGTCCACAAGGAAAATGTGTCAGCTATCCCCAATTCACTGCCAAATAGAGGAGATCCAGAAGTAGAAATCTATGGCATGGAAGGTATTCCAGAAAAAGATTTGAAAGAAAGACAGCAGCGACAAGGAAAAGATGATGCAGGTACATGTATATCCAAGATCATAATCATGCCTGTAGTTTATTGACATCTTAGAAACCTATACTCCTATCATTTTAAATCAAGAATTGACTCTGGATTTTATGAATGGGTAAATAAATGGTAATTACTTGTTTATACAAAGAAGTGACTCTATTTATTTTTAATAACATAGATGAACCAACAGCAAAGAAAGCTAAAGAYGATATGCCAGGTCAAGTACCTATGATGGCACCTGGTGCAATGCCTATGATGCCAATGATGGCAATGCCTGGAATGCCTTTRCCTCCTGGTTTTCCTCCTCCAATGGCAATGCCTGGAATGCCAGGTAAGATTGCTTCATTTTGATTTCACTCTAGTTGAGATGAATATCTTTTATATTAAGACATGTAAAACTCTTTTTCTTAGTTATAAATCTTCTTCTTATTTGTATTCAGGTGTCCCACCAGTTGCTGGTTTAACAAGACCTCCAGTTCCTCCAATGATGCCAGGGTAAGAATGAAATTCTCATTAAAATTAGTTATTAGGTGAATAGTAAATTTATATAGTTTCACATAAGTATGATAGCACTAATATTTACATTGGCAATATTGACCATTTTGAATAAAAACSGTCAGTAAGTTTTAAGTCTTGTTCAAGAAACTTCACTTTTAATGGATATTTTTTATTAAGATGATATTGATATCCAGTTTCAAGTGAAGTACTTTCTTATGTGAAACATTTTGTGTGTTTGTCCATATGGCTGGCAGTTCTTTATTTCAGGAAGGATTGACATTGGGATAATCTGGATCTCTTACAGGCTAGTTTGAAAATTGAAAAATAAGTTGTAGCATGATTTTCAAASGAGTTAAGGCTTTTAAAGTATCTTATCTAAACATCTGAAATAAATGTTTATTYATTGTAATTGGACCTAAAATACTGCCATTCCTCTTAATTTCAGCACTGTCTGGTTTTGATAAGGTAGATTTTCTAATATTTTCTACTGATTAAAAACCTGTAGTTTGGGCCCTTTTATAAAATGTTTTTTTTTTACTTGTGGTTCATCTCTATCATTGAAAGCCTGAGGCTAAACTCTGCCTGATTTGTTTTTGTCTGCTACTATATCCTGTACATGCATTATTGCAAGCTCAGAAACTCATTTAAGTAATTGCCATTTGCCTGTATRTACTAGTTCAAAACTAATACAAAATGGCTTTTGTTAATGAGATTAGGAGTTTGTGGTGAAGTTAGCTTTAAGTGCACATTATCTAATTTACTAATATAGTGCTTGCATTTGACAAAGATTGGAACATGCACCAGATGCATCTTTTAACAGCATTCCAATATCGTAGTGCTCAAAGTAATACAGGTCTATTACTAGTTCTCTCTTTAGTCGTCACATTTAAAGAAAGCATTGGCACTCAAATGTGGAAAGACTTGTCAAGATATTACAGCTTAATGATAATAAAAGTTATTTTAGATTATATAAAATAGTGGTTAGAAGTTAAACTAACAATAGTTTTAACCCTTTCTAGCATGGCTTCTCCAGYAGTWACATCAGGAGCTGCAGTACCATTTGTTCCTGGTATAGCAAGGCCRCAGGTACCTGCTAGCAAACCACTCTTCCCTTCTGCACAGGTAAGTGCTTTCACTTTGACCAACCTTAACCTGGCTATTCATGTAAGTACATAATTGTGTTTCAGGAAATAAAACAATATATTTTCAATTCCACTGTAAGAAATTTTTAATATTTCTTAATGCAAAAACTAATKTTTGGCTTCAAATAAATATAAAAATCAGATTTCACTAAGCATAGATTGGCTTTTTAGTAGAAGATGATTTGAACAATGTTTATACCCTCTYSTCACTCYGGTATATCTATTGAAATTCACATACATGAATATATCATTGATTATTTCGGAAAATGAATATACRAAGATCTGCGCCTACACTGCAGTGCTGGCTCGCCCGATAAAATGCTTGGATGCACCTTTGCAAGATTGTTTTACACACCAGAATCTTGGTACGTGAATCCTTCAGATTTTTATCATGAAAAGTATTTTTTAAGTAATTGTTACCAGACCCAGCTTTCAAATGAAAATGAAATATTTGATTACAGTACTATATAGCAACATTTGCTATTGAGGATGAGATAGTTTGCAATGTGACAGGGAGTAACKTCTTTTAAAGCTAAAACTCTTTGAGCTATTTCCATCCACTGGCAAGCAATGTGAGTAATAATGTAACAGTTCAATCTTTGTTTCAACTTTTCTCCTAAATACACTGTATTAGAATCACAGATATTTGTTACCTGAAATGGAGAAGCTAAGTACATCATGTAGACAACTTGTTATGTGTATTTTACACGTAGATGAACTTTATTAAACAATAGATATTAGTTGATCTTTTGGATGCTTTGTTTATTTTTATTTTTTTTCAATTCTTGTTTTTTATTTGTTTGTTTTCAGTACTTTGCTTGTTTTTGCTTTTTTACTCGAGGGAGGGGTACTTAATCTGCATAAATACATCTAGAACAGTTGACATGGGCCAGTGTACCATCAAAATTCCATGAAAAATTTAGGATTTATCCATAGTTGTTTGCACAATTTTCCTGTTGAAATTTGTTTATCACCATACTGTCCTATGTCAATTGAAGCGTATTTATATTTGCTATYAAGTATTATAATGAAATTATAAACCTATCCTGGACTGAGATCAGGAAAGGTAGGTCCCATATMAACAGTAAGTACCATCATTACTGCTGTATTCATGTGTATGGTCCTAAGTCAATCCATTTGTACAGAACCTGAATGGAGCCACAACAACAACAGCAAGTACAGGACCAGTAGGTGCAGACTTTAAACCATTAAGTAGCAGTACTACAACTTACTCTAGTGGACCAACTATAACAGGACAAGGTATGTCCTTACTTCACCTCAAGTTTCATTTASMATAAATATAYAAAATTTACRTACACTTTACAYRCAATAATTTACATACCATTGACAACTTTTGTCTATCCTTTGTAARAGAACWTCWGGTAGMCAACATTCCCACTAGTGCATACACRTAGGACTTTATTACCATAGTTGTAGTGTAACTSCTGTCTGTGTATTCKCAGATCTGTTGTAATAAMATGAATGTTTGTTGTTCTTCAGCTAAACCAGCTGTACCTCCAAGTGCTGCTGCTGTATCTACAACAAAGCCAGCCATTATTGTAGCTCCAGGAGCAACCAGTAAACTAGTTCACCCAGATGAAGATATATCATTGGTAATGATTTATACAATAAACAACTAATCAATGAACAATAACCAMTCAAAAATGGCTTCTCCTTGCAGGAAGAAAAACGAGCAATGTTGCCTAAGTATGCAACACAGACACAGRGTTTACCAACTTCCAACATACCTACAATGGCAGCCATGAATCCTATGGTTAGAATGGCAGCTCCCCCTGGAGTTGTCCCACCAGYATCAGCMGTTCAAGGCCACCAGCCTCTAATGAATGTTCAAGTCACTGTTCCATCTGGATTCCAGCCTGGTCCCCGACCACTAATGGGTAACCAACCACCAGGCTTTCAACAGCAAGGATTATTCAAYATGCCTCCCCGTGGTGGGCCACCACTATTACCACAGCCACAAGGRCATCCTATTAACCCTGCAGTAAGAATGCAGCAAGGAGTCTTGGGAGCACCTCCAGGGAATCCATTCATGCATAGAATGCCAATGGGTGGTCCTCGACCTCATTAAATTGTCTTTTTTTTTCTACTCTCTTTTTACCCATATCATAACTGCTTTTTCAGGCTTAGGTATGAAAACATTGTTGCTTATGGAGAACTTTGACAAAATGTTACTAATATTATTTTGATAAATAAACAGGAAGATATCTTTAATTTATAGTATGGGAATCTTTTTTCTTTGTTGCAATATATATTATTTGCTATGATGTCTTCTGGTTTTTGTTTTCAATAAGCAACAATGTTTTCAACTCACTTAAGGTAAGTCATGAATACTTACATAACTTTGTAAACCAGACCATACTTTTTATTSAATGAACAAGTTCCTGTTATCTAAGGTAGGGAGAAACAAGGTAGGCAAGAATGCTATATTTTGTACTATCATTTACCTATAATAAGTTTAATAGTGRTTTGCAATTTATTGCTAAGAATTATGTATATAAACATTCAAAATGATCAGTTAATTAAGAGTATGTCATATAACCATGAACTGTATAGACCGCTTAGTGGTACGATCAGTAATTTGCTTTGATAGTTATACCAAACATTTCATCTGTATTCTGTTTAGTTTGTTTCATGGATATGATATTTGCTTTTGTGACGAATCCTGTTCCATTCCTATAGCATTAGTAAAAAAAACTTCTACATCCATTTATCTATCATTTTCTTGTAATTAGGATTTGCTATTGTCAATGGGGAGAATATCTTTCTTTGAATAAACAACCATCCTATTGAAAACTGTTATTTTCTTTTTTGTAATATAAGTATTACTTAATTTCATGAAAATGAAATAAATTTTTGATTTATTCAAAGTGTTGATTGTTTAACTTTACTTCAAGTCTAAAATATAAAGGATAAGATCATATTTTGGCTGTTGGGCTAGTCTGAGTCTCAAGCTTTCTCAAAGGGATTTGGACAGACTGACAGTCAGGCGAATGTTTGGATTAACTTCGGAGCTTATCTAGTCTGTAAAAACCCCACAAAATGCAAATGCTTCTGGAATACTTCATTCTAATCAACTATCATCTGAAAAAAGAATTCTTGAAATTCGATTTACAACTAAAGAGAAATCTTGTAATAAATTGATACTAGTGATTTTTTAGAAGCTATGTTTGTCTCAAACATAATTTGGAATTCCTGTGTTACTTGGCCAAGAAATATTCAATCTCGTACCCAGAGTCCGCACTTTTGCCATCCGCTGATATTGGCCGTGAAGAAGRTCGAAAGGCTTGGCACCAACGTGTCACCCGCTGAGTAAAGTGTSTGTAGACTCGCAAGCCCAAATTTGCATATTCCTCGCTGATACCATAGCTGTTGCACGTGGTGAAAGAGTTCTTTCAAGTAGTCGACTATATACCTCAGTGAAGCTATCATTCATAGCCGAGAGGAACCATTAAACCATCAAAATGGTATGTGTCCTTATTGATTGATCATTTTAGCATATTTGGAGACGGTGAAGCTGAAATCCATGCGCTCCGCGCGAGGTATATATATCATGTGATCACCATAACCAAACATGTTTTCACGCAGATATCTGTAAACAACGCTAAGAAACCTCGTTTTTTTCTAATAGGTAAATTCACCTTAAGGCGGTGCTCATTTTTTGTTGGTGATGAAGTTAAGATTCAGAGAATAAGAGAGCAAAGAATGTTGTTATGTAGTCAGTGCACATGGCCTTTCACAAACAAAAGAGTTYAATAACTTAATGCATGATGATATAAAGCTTACTTAGCTTCGTGTTATACTGTTGTAGTAGCTGTATTTTTGCTACAGGCTATATTATGAAAATTAGATTTAAGCTTATATGTCGAAGTATTTTGTTTTCGTATTTTGTTTTTGTCCATGAAGAGTTCTGATGAAGTGAATCCCAAAGCGTACCCACTAGCTGATCCGCAGTTTACAACGACTATCCTAGACCTCCTGCAGCAAGCAGTGAACTATAAACAGCTAAGGAAAGGCGCCAATGAAGGTAATCATTGTTTAGCTCCCATTGTGTACATGGCATCTGCCTGTGGCTGTGTAGTATAAACTTAGGATTTCATAGATATAATGATAAATGTTGTTTTCAGCCACCAAGTGTCTAAATAGAGGAGTAGCAGAGTTCATTGTRATGGCAGCTGATACTGAACCTCTCGAGATCCTACTTCACTTACCACTGCTTTGTGAAGATAAGGTAATGGTACAAAATAGAAGCAATGAGGACATTCTTSTTCACATTTCCCTGCACCATCTTGAAAAGTAACTACCTTTTATTGGAGAAAGACAAACAAGGAACTTGCAACAGCAGATACCTGTGAATAAGAATTGTCTAYAATYGYGAAAGGCATCTGTAATTGCACACTTAGTAGGCATCTCACTTAAGTGCCAAGGCATAGTTGGTTTTCTTGAAAGATGTTACATAGTGAGGTCCATAGAG